CTTCACTTGGTGATGTGTCGGTTCAATCCTAGTTGCCTCCATAGCTTCACATGTATGTTTGTTTTAGTCACACTTGTGTAGTTCATCTTTCTTCTACTTAGTGATGTGTCGATTGAATCCTAGTTGCCTCCATGGCTTCTTATGTATGTTTGCTCTAGTCACACTTGTGCAGTCCATCTTTCTTCCACTTAGTGATGTGTCGATTCAATCGTAGTTGTCTTCATGGCTTCAGATGTATGTTTGCTCTAGTCACACTTGTGCAGTCCATCTTTCGTCCACTTAGTGATGTGTCGATTTAATCCTAGTTGCCTCGATGGCTTTGCATGTGTGTTTGCTCTAGTCACACTTGTGCAGCCCATCTTTCTTCCACTTGGTGATGTGCCGGTTCAGTCCTAGTTGCCTCCATAGCTTCAGATGTATGTTTGCTCAAGTCACATATGTGCCTTCCTGGCAAGATCCCGGCCCACCCATTGGATGCTTTCCCTTGTTGCCTAAGCATGAAGGATGCTGCCTTTGCAGCAATCCCCCCCCCCCTGTTCTCTATGTGAACACCGCTCTTTGCCCCCCTCCCCCCCGTGCTCTAATCGAACACGGTAAGAAGAAGGTAGGTACGGGGCTGGTACTCTTGCTATTACTACTGCTAATGCTGCTGTTGTTTGTTAGGTAGGGACTGGTGTTGTTGTTGTGGATGCCTGGCCACACCAGACTGCTGCTGCTGCTGAAAACCGTCAACTGGTCCCCCGAAGCAAAGGCCTGAACGAAAAAGGCTAAGGCGCCAGGGCGGCCCGGGGGCACCGGTGACCAACACCGCCAAAATAGGGTTATGGGGGCTGTGACTTCACAGACCCCATATTCTAGGCATAGATAAATGGCCTGCAAAATCTGCAGGCCATCTGAGTCCATTTTCCTGCAAAAACGGAAAATGGACTTCCCCGAACTATTTGCCTAGAGCCTCGGGCGATGCCCGAAATAGGCAAGTAGGGGCAAATGACGACGGGATCCGACCAAACTTGGTGCAGTTCTTCCATAGGGTGTAGACAGAGGGCCTACTGAGTTACGTGGGCATCTGACACTGTTTGGGCCACCGAATGCAGGACTGTGTTTTTCAGCTCTCCCGCCGATGGGAAAATCGGCAAAAATCTGCAAAATCAGTATTTTCGGCAATCTGTGTTTTCTGCAAATTTGTGCTGCTGTAAGCCTATGTATTTGTGCAAACTGCAAGAATGAGTATTCCTGAGCGTCCGGGCCCTGGAAAAACACTAGGTGGGCGGACCCGCACTTACAAGTAGGGAGAAACGTTGGGCCAACCCACACCACACTTCATCTTCTTCCTCCATCTCCTTCATCCATCCACCATAGCCGCCACCTCACTTCATTTTCTTCCTCCTTCTCCTTTACCCATCCACCATAGCCACCACCTCATTTCATCTTCTCCCTCCATCTCCATCATCCATCCACCATAGCCACCCGCCACACTTCATCCTCCTCCTCCATCTCCGTCATACATCCGCCATAGCCACCACCTCACTTCATCTTCTTCCTCCATCTCCATCACCCACTCACCATAGCCATACACCGCACGTTATCTTCGTCCTCCATCTCCTTCATCCATCCATCATAGCCACCCGCCACACTTCATCCCCCTCCTCCTCCTTCTTCACCCATCCGCCATAGCCATCGGCCACACTTCATCTTCCTCATCCATATCCTTCACTCATCCACCATAGCCGACCGCTTCGACCCGCGCCTTGTTCTAAGAGAAGAAGGGGGGGGTGACACATAGGAGGGGCCTCAAGTAGGGCAGTATGCAAGTAGGGGATTGTTACATCTTCGACGCCACACGGGTCCTACCGGACCCGACTTAGGGCTAGAGGGACACATCAGGGCCTAAAGGCCCGACCTTGGGGGTACTATAGGCCATAAAGGCCTCACCTTGGACCAGACCCGACGGGCAGGCCCAAACGACATTACCGTTTGGGCCTGGCGGCGCTCTTGAGGCTGCCGCCCGCCGGTTGGGGCTGAACCGTCCATCTGGATGGTTCAGGGCACGGCCAGGCCTCGCAGCATTGAGGCCGGCCTCTGCCCCACCGGTATATAGAACCGGTCTGGCCTCACTTCGAGGTATCGACTTACCGACATTCTACCGGTAAGGTATGGTACATCGCTAATAAGCGCTGGCGCTATCTTTAGCGCAGGAGCAGCGAGGAGCAGCGCAGCGCAGCAGTAGCGAGCGAGCAGCAGCAGCGGCGACTGGGTCACTGGCGGCCATAGCCGCCTGAGGTATTGGGAGTTGGAGGCTTCTCTCCTCCCTCCCAGCGTCAGTCCCCTCTCTCTCTCTCTCTCCTCCTCGGCTCCTTCTTCTCCTTCTTCTCCTTCTTCTTCTTCTTCTTCTTCTTCTTCTTCTTCTTCTTCTTCTTCTTCTTCTTCTTCTTCWGATTGGAGACCTATACTAGTTGGACAGAGATYAGTGYTGGACTTCGGTGGTATGAGACTGTGGTACTTACTGGATTGGAGACTTGGAGATCRTCGGGGTTGATACTTGGCGACATCACAGTTCAGACACCGGTTACATTTGGACTTGGTATCCCCGACATTGGTRACCTATGGTCCTCGACATTTTGATYTTGTTGGATGACATTTTGGACTACCATATCGGTGACCTATCAGATTCTATCTCGGTGACTTTCGGTGCTGTGTACCTCCCCCCACCTCTTCGTCTCTCCTCCCCCATTCATCCGTGTATGTGYGTAYGGGGCTGAGCATCTTCTATGTATGGCTCAGACCCCACCACCTYACGATTGTATGTGTGTGGAGTGATGCTATGTGAGTCAGTCTGTGTGAGTCAGTCTATGTGAGTCAGTCCGTTCATCAGACTTYCGTTGCATATATGCTCATCCTACATTGGTTGATCCTTGGTTYTGCCCATACTCATTGGAGTATGTWACAGTTTTGGTATCGGAGCAGACCATATAACGGATCTGCTCACAAAGGTAAGTCTGGTTAGGAATTAGATTGCCTTCTCAATCTTCCAAATCAGCGCTGTACTACTATTAAGTTCWAAGTTGCAAATTTTTTTTTTCTTTTTCGGTATTCTATTTAGTTCGGCATTTCCGTTCAATTCGGTATTCGGACTTATAATCCGGATTTCTGTTTTCTTCCGGTATATTGTCTATTTGAGTTCCGATTGAGGGATACTAATCCGATAATTGATTAAGTTTCGGATTTTTGATTTTACACGAATTAGGGTTGAATCAGTATCATGTTGAAATTCGGCGTTTCTGATTTCCATTCAGCATTCCGTTTTTTGACATTTTGTTGTAAATCCTATATTTCGTTTTCTTTTGGATTTCCGTTGTCTTTCAGTATTGGAAATTAGGGTTACGAACATCTTTGGGTTTTAGATCAACTTGGGGAAATTCGAACGTTTTGGGGACCGTAAATCCGGAAATTTCACGGAAACGCGGAAAATTAGGGTTGGGACCGAAATTTTCACGAATTTTTTTTTCGTTCCCCTTGTTTGAGAAATTCCGAAAACAGGTTTAGGCTTTTAAAAATCGGATTTTGACAGTGGAAATTCCCAAAAATTCGCGTTTTTGAAAATTCAAGCGTTTTTTCTTCTGAAATCTTCCGAAAATTTTTTAAGCACACTAAGCCGTATCTGACCCTCAAACTGCAACTTCCAGGTAGTTCACTCATTAACGGTGAACTCCCAGACTCAAAGTGATCTCAAAGAGACCTAATCATAATACCTTTCAAATTCATTTATAATTGCAATTATTGTTTATTGATTATCCTTATTGCAAATAATGATTATTGGTTATCTTTATTACAAACATTGTTTTATTGATCATCATTAGGAGTATTTCGTTATTTATCATTAATTATTTTTATTGATTAAATCGTTATTAATTCCTTATTACGAATTTTTGAATGGTTTACGGGAAATTTATTTTGTTGTTTGATTAGGTGTCTACAGTCCATCAGTGGGACAGGGGACTGTATGCGTATTGTTTGATTGTTCTACCCCTGTTCCCACTCTCCCTACCCTCCCCGTATCCTGTGACCACCG